GGTTCTTGTTCTTTACCGTGCAAACAGTAATTTTACAGTAAGCTGTTGAGAACTGCGGTAAGCCATTTGCTAGTAAATCAGTGTTTCTTACAGCAAACTCTCTGTGCTTTGTCAGCCATTACATCTAGGGAATAAAATCTAATTAAAAAAAAAAACAACAAACAAAACATGGAGCAGTTATGGCTGATCTCTCTGAAAAATTTATACTGTTTTGAGTATAGGAACCAAACGTGGGATTTTTTTTGGGTAGTGTCCAGTTCCAAAGCTTTGAGATGTACAGCAGAACATGAAAAACATCTGCCTTTTTCCTGCATTTCTAGTATTTGCAATAAAATACACTGATCAGTTACAGTTTTCCCTTCAGTTCTTGACTTTTGGGGAAGGTTCAGCTCCTGAAAGCAGCAGCTCAGGAAAGTTTGAGCTTTATTTTCAGATTGAGATGGAATTTTAGAGGTGTTAACCCTGAGTACTTGAAAAAAAATAAAAGAAAAAAATTAAACACCCCTCCTCCTTAATATTAAAGATCACAAGGAATACCTGAAATGTTGGCGGGGTTTTATTTGTTTTCTGGTCTTGGTCTTTTGGGTGCAATCATATCCTGCTTTCCAGCTTGTGTTTACCAATTAATAGATGTAGCAGCTCTTTTTGTATTATTATTTTAAATTTTTTAATGGCAGCTGAAATATGTTGATTCCAGCAACAGTTAATATCGAGAGACTTGCCAACTCTTGTATTTTTATGGCAGTATTGTGTTCCTGCGGGGTAAGCCTTTACTGCATTGCTCAAAGCTGCTTATAATTTTGAAACGGAAGGCTAGTGTTGGAAGTAGCAAGGTGTGAAACCCCCACAAAACGAAAATGGGGAGAGTAAAGGCAGGGTCTGTCAGAAGCAGGAAGGATTCTCAAGTATTATCCTAAGGGTTTTTTTTTCTTTGTTTTACAACAAATGTTTTTAAAAGTCCTACAGATTGAAACACCGTTGGATGCAAAGTACTTAAAACGATGTTGGCTGCTGGCAGCCCACTGCCGCCAGGCCCCCGTGTCTCGGGTACCTGACAAACCAATGTCATCTGAGCAGCAGTTATTGTTGACATTTCTTAAGGCCAGGTTGTGGAACAGTGTATGGACGCTCGGAGCAAGCAGTGCTATGCATAAAAACGTGAATTCGGGTGATTTTTAAGTTGTTCTGATCTTTGCTGGCCAACTCACCTTTTTGATTGAGTTGCTTGTCTGAGTTTGAGTTTCTGGATCAGTACGGGGGAGTACAGCCTTGCACACCTTCAAGTGCAATTTTTCCCAGCCTTGCTGGAGGCTGCCAGTGCCTTGATCTCAGGTCTCAGTTTTTCAGCACCATTTTCCCTTCTTTCAGAGTATGTACTTTATAGAAAAGTGAGAGGTTTTAAATGGTGAGAAAGGATGTTTTTTGATTCATAGGAATTTGTTTTTTAATAAAATATCCAAGCTTCTCTGCAGATCCTTGAGATATTTGCTTGCTGGTTTAGCTTTCAAGGCTGGAATAGAATGGTGGAAGGACAGAAATGTACGGTATCTATAGGTACAATTATGCTGAAGGTCTGCTTTCTGCCTTCATCCCACAGATCCTATTTAGTTCTTATTGTCTGTATAAAAACAATTTTTCCTTTAATTAAATTAAAGGAAAAACTGAGCTTATAAAGCTTGGCTATTACACTTTTTTGAATACTACTTGAAACAGAGGCTTTTACAGTACTGTAAACTTGAATTTTCTCATGCTTTTTATCATCAAACGAGCTTGATAAGTTTGGTACCTGGTTTGATATCATATTCTTAACCGTGATAGCAGAAGATCAACTCTGAGCATTTCCTCCCAGTATTAGGTTCTTAATGTCTGTTATCACCATGACATGGCAACCTGGTGCTGCCTGTGGTGTTGACTGTTCATTGAGGACCGCTGCCAGGTTTATATTCCCTGCCAGGTAGCTCATGCCTGCACTGCGCCTTATCACAAGGAAAGAATCCCACTCATAATCTGAATGGTGTGGGCAGGGATGATATTGAGGCCACAAATTCAGCTCGTACTACAAAGTACTGAGTACTGAGCTCCGTGTGCAGCCAGGCTTCTGGTGAGCATCGTGGACAGAAAGCACTCAAGCTGGAGAGATTGCTACGTGCACATGTTGCCGTGCTGCGTAGATTCTGAACATCAGAAGATTGTCTCTGTGCCAGCTGGTTGGTACTGAAACTTCATCTTTTTGCTTAAAGGCTTTGTGATAAGGTGTGGCTTCCTTTGGATGCTCAGTGTCTCTTGACAGAGAGATACGTGCCTGATCTGAAAAACTGGAGCTTAGATGTCTAGATTTGAGCACTACCGAAATGTGAAGAATGTGAAAGACATTTAATTCTAAGCTTTGGTTTGGTCTATTTCTGCTGCAATCTATTATTAAAACAAAAACCTAAACAAATCATGGCAAGATGGAGTTCATTAGCTCACAAAATTGAGTTGGAAAAGTTGACAAATACATTTGCGGTGTCCCAGTATGGTTGCTCCATTTCTCTATTTGCAGGGCTTCTATATTGCAGCCTCCTCACCTAATTCGAAGCACAGCATGACTCCTTCCTAGGACTAGTCCCTTCTATCATCTCTCTCCCTCCTCTTAAATCCCTTCAATCAGCTTTCAGTAAAATAGAAAATAGGTTTTTATCACTTATTAAAAATTTTATAATGGAGGCCTGGCTTATCTTCCCTACCTTCTGTCACTGACAAACTTGGATCAACAGCTGCCAGGTATTTGTCCAAAAATACAGATTGAAGCATTGCAGAGTTTGTGCCCTCAGTAACTTTACTCTACAACCTCAACAATCCTAGGAGAAGCTTAAAAAAACCCAAACCACCCAAACAAGTAGTGGAAACAATCCCAGCACCTCAAGTTTAAATGTTGTAGATTACTAGGGCAACTCAAAAATACTAAATGTGTGTGACTTGTGTTGTTTTTCATTTTTTATTAGCTAGGTAAATCTAAGGTGATAATTTTGCTTTATTTCAGTTGCAGAATTTGACAATATTAATCTACAGTGTAACAGTCACTGTGTGACATTTCTGTGGTTGTGTTGTGGATTTTTCAGATCACTGCACAGTGTTAAGCTGGTATATGGAAGCCATTTGAAATGCTCAAAATGAAATAACTTAAGGATCAGGTACTATATATGTGCCAACAGGATCCTGGGCCAGGGTCATCAGCCCAGAACCCTGCTACAAACACGGCACAGCCCACCTAGGCCAACCTCTGCTCTCTCCCTCGTGATTTCTCCGCACCTTTCACCGAGCAATTGAATTGTTGACAACTTTGGGTTCCTTACAGGTTTCCATCTACATCCATGTACCTACTTTGAGGGTCCGTTGAATGCCAGCCTGTGCATGTTTTCACTTTCCTGATAACTTTCCCTTTCATGTCACAGATGAAGCCACACAAGTTGCAATCTTTCCAAACCGCTGTCTGCAACATACTCGAGTTTCCTGTCTGATGCTACCTGCGCTGTTCTCTTCAGCCAAAGATGAAATAATGTGTTTCTCATGTTAAAGCTAGTTGGCCTGCAACATCTATAACTTCTTTACAGTGTTTCAGTTCCCTCACACTTCTTGTAGCACCTATTTTTCCATTTGGTATAAACAACTCATTGGTCAGGCATGGTACTTTATAGCTGCACCTTATTTTCTGTGAACAACTTGAACATGTTCAGTGTTATAAAGTGAGCGTTAGGAATGGAATAGCATAGGTCTGCCCCCTCTGCAGATAAAAATAAAATAAATAAATAAAAAATAATCCCTTAATGTGCAAGAAGGTCAAACATGCGCTATGTGAACTTGTTAAACACATTTATTGAGTTCTTGACAGTAACCAAACACAGTGAATGACCATTATAAACAAGAAAAAAGGCATTTGCTTTTACTTGGTCAGCTCCTGCTTCATCTGTAAAGAAAAGATATCCCTTTCCACCACCAATTTACAGGATTGAATTTGTTTGTCCTCATAATGGATTCAGCAGGGAAAATGGCAATTTTAAACTGAGATATGTTTCAACTGCTTTCTGTTTCTGAGCCCAGCTCCTATTATAATGATGGACCATAAAGTAGAGTTAAAGTTATACTAGCTTTAAGTGCATTCCCAATTGCCATCACTTAAATTGGCTGCAAACAAACAAATGAATTAAAAAAAAACAAAACACCCAAACCGGCCACAAGTAGTAGAGGCATATTATTTCAGAAAGGAAAAAAGAAATCAAAGCAAGTTTACTAAATTAATTTGTTAAACACATTTATTGAGTTGTTAATAGTAACCAACACGATGTATGACCTGTTGTAAAACAAGAAACAGAAAATGGATCAATTCTGATTTTGGCAAATCCTACTACAGATATGTGACAGAGGGAAATATTTCAATTTCCTTTATATTCTGCAGCGATATATTTACAATACTTATCTCTCAAAGTCTGTCCCTTTTTTAATTAAATGAACAGAAAGATCATAACCTAGAAATAAATTTCCTCTACAGTCATCTTGTTCTGTCTTGTCAGTATCCATTAATGATAGTGAAATAATGAGAGCTTTCCAAGGATTACTTGGCACACAGAACACAACTCCACTTTGATGCTGTACCGAGCCACCTTTTTTCTTTCTTTTTTTCTTTTTTTTTTTTTTAATTTGAGGGAGGGGGAAATAGAGGAAGAATTTCATATGTACAAAGGCTGAAAAGTCTTTCTTTGTGAAGCTAAATTAGTTCAGGAAAACTGTATCAAAATTGTAATCACATTTACTGTAATGCTGTCTTTTTACTTTTTTTTTAATTACCAACGATCATATGAATGAATTTTTAGTTGTTTCCAACATGGCAGCTCTTTTCCTACAGCACATTTGCACATGCTGTCGCGAACCCAAAGAGAGTGAGGTTGGGTGCATTCTAGATTATGTCAATTCACAGTAGTCGCATTCCACTGAGGTTATGGGTTCTGCCTGCTCTGTCTTTCTTACTTGAGGAGCCATTCATTTACTGAAAGAGAAACAAAACAAAAAACAATTATGCTTTAATGAACTCCAAATATGAAACTGGCTGGATTTAACACTGTGTTAGGAACTTAAAATGTCTTGAAACAGCCAGGAGGTTCAGTTTCCTCCTCTTTCTGGAAAAGAATTAAGTCTGAATGACTGTTTCTTTGAAGTATTGCAACTCAGTTGTCAGCCTTGTTGCTGAAAATGTACTTTCTTTTCCACCCTTCAGTAGCATTCCTTCATAACCATAGTATTATTGGTAAGAAGGCGCTTCTATACCATTATTGCAGGTAATACAACTGTGTGTGCGTAGGCTAAAAGATGCATAAGACACATTACAGCTCAGTTGTGAGCCCCCAGCTGTGGCAGTGTAAGACTCTACCAGCAGGAGACTGGCTTGGTTCATTTGTTTAATATCCATTGTGTAATACAAAACTTTCCAATTTGGGTGTTTGTTATGGTGGTGCCACCTCCAAAGTGAAATTTATTGTTTGAGATCAGCTGTCATCAAGACTAGCCATCCCCCTTTTTCTTTCCAAGGTGGGTAAGACAGAGCAAAATGCGCTTTCTAAGGTGAGAAGACTTTAAAATGAGGCTAGAAAACTGAAGGCCTGTCCTATCTGCCTTTAAAAAAATATTAGATGTCCCAGACTGGTTTTTGTCATGCTTTTCCTGCATGTTTCTGGGCAAATTTCCTCATCCATTTCAAATATGTAATGTTTGACTCATACCATTAGTCCCCCAGATCTGGAGTTTCATCTGTTTTTATTTGTACGCTTTGTTATGCACTTGGGTTTCTCAAAGAAAAGAGCTCGGTGTAAGCATAGAAAGGATTATTCTGGAGGTAGAACGTACCTCTATACTGTAGTTTCTGTGCTCTATTGTTTGGACAATCTTTTCCCTGTAAACTAAAGTTGATATTAGTTCGGATACATCGATTGTTGAGAGGCTGGACTGGTCTGAAATTGTCGCTCATGCTCAGAAATATCTGTGATGGCTGATTCTGGCTTAGCAGTCGTAAAGAATGCATCTATACAAAATACAAAACAAGGATTTTTAGTACTGGTCTTTCCTGCAAGTAAACAACATACAACACTATCAAATAGACTACTTAATAAATGAAAGTTAAACAGAATTTCAGTGATTTGTAGTCAGAGGTGGGTTGAAAGAGTTAACGAGGTAAAACTGTTCCTTCTGCGGTCCTCTGTTTCTGAGCCCCATTTTAAACAAAAGTAACTAGTTTTGTGTGGAGTCAACGAAAATGGTATGAGGTGTCCTTGGCTGAGCAGGAAACAAATGGAATCCAGAGTACTGGATGGCAGCAGCTGGTGCAGAGAAGATGAACTTGATGAATGACAAGAACTAATTTCCTAAGTTTTGTAGCTATTAGCGTAGCTTCCGGTTGAGAAGACAGAGTTTTGGATGATGGTATTCAAGAAGCAGGTATGGCCAGTCAGGATGGAAAGGATAACTGACAGAGTCATGCTGCTGAAGTCATGAAATTAATGATGTTAAAAAGCGAAATCCTCTCTCCATTGACAGGTCTGTCCTGATACTGTCTGTACTGTGCCTGTAGTATTCTTCTGGTAGACTCTGGCCTTCTTTTGAGACGGTTTTACGGATCGGCAGAGAGGGAATTGCTGACAGACTCAGGATTTTCAGTGCGCCCCGCAGTGGTTGGATGCAAACTACAAGCAGATGACAATGGTTCTTATGATGACTATGCAGCTGTGCTAAAAGCATGTTAATTGGTTCAAGTCAAGCAAAATCTTTCAAACTTTGTATAGGAAACTGGAGAGAGGAGGAAAAAAAAAAAGGCTGCAATTTGTAAATCAGAAACCCTAACATTATTTTGGTTTAAAAATATAAAAAGAAAATATTTTCCACGTCAGTGTACAATTTAAGAGGTTTGGTTGTGCCATTTAATGCTTAAATGGGGAAACCCAGTAGCTGGGGTTTACATACTGAAAATCTTTAACAGCTTCTAGGGAAAACTTGTGCGTTGCTTTTTCAGTCTGAGTACACGATGTAATTAGTAAGTATTCCATGAAATCAGTTTGCAGCGCTAATAGTGGAGGATGTAACTAACCAGTAAAGCGTGACAAGGAGTAAGTATCATGAGATTATAACCCATAGGTACTAGCACAGACTCCAGAAATATTCTAATCCTTGTTTTGCACATTAATGTTGTAACTAAAAATGTTGCTTGCAGGAAAATGTTCAGGTCTCCTGCTTGAAAAGTTCAGAATGTACAGCATGTCTGCCTGTGCTCAGCCGTGTCATTCTCCCAAAGTACCCATTTAGAAAAGAAACAAAGTGCTTTCTCTGCATCTAGACAAAATTGGACAGAAGGAATATCACGAAGATATAACATCTCTCAGGCTTTTTAAAGTCATCTTATTTATAAGGTTAATATGATTTTTAAATCCCAAAGTAATATTTAGGGTTGTCTTATCATTCCTCATTTCATTTCTTAGGCCAGATTGCTCTGCTGCATGCTTGGGACAGGCAGATGGTGGTTCAAGTATTCCTTCGGGATTCTAGTACGCAAGAGAATAGGTTTTAGTTCAGCTCACAGCTCCGTAGGCAACTCATTGATGGAAGCTCTGGAGAAGACTGCAATTGGTGTTAAACCTGTTGTTTTCTGATGTTAGGCCTTGGATTGTGAGTGAGTCATACAGAAATGTAGTCTTTACGGCTTTTCCACTCGTGTGTTTCCTCAACAGCATAATTTTGACTATGAAATTAATCATGTTTTCTTTTGCATAATTTATCCTGCTTCTTTCTAATAGGGGCTTCAATTTTTCAGTCTGATTTTTCTGAAGATACTTGCAATGTCTATCCTGTCATCTTATTCTATACCAGAAAGCACTGGCTGATTTTTCATCCATATATTAGATCTCTGTCACATTAACGTGCTATCGATGTGCATTTAAATGGCCATGAATGTCACTCACAATTTGTCTGTTTCTTTCTGACCTAAGAATGGCCTCTGTTATACTTAAAACTTCAGTTATTTTTGCACAGCACTGCTAGATTTGTTTTAGAATCCCCATATCTCTATTCACAGAACCATAGAATAATTTAGTTTTGAAGAGACTGCTGGAAACCATTTGGTTCAAACCCTCACTGAAAGTAGGGCCCACCTCAAAGTACATATGTGTGTGTATAGATACTTAGGGAGCTCTAAATAGTCAATGTTTTCATTTTGGCCAAAAACTCTTCAATGCTTTTGCAAACTGTATAAATTGCAGGCAGAGATCCCTACAGCAAATGAATCTGATTTTGTATGTAAAGCCACAAATATATATGTTTAAAATACTCTTTTGTACCTATACCAGATCGAGTAACTTCTTTATTATTTTTACCTGCATCCTTGTTATGTAGACAGGCTTGTTCATTATTATCCAGCTTGCTGTTTCATAGCAGGGTGGAATTGTCATTGACCCATCATATGTAATGAAACTAGACGTCTCTGGATAAAGTTCCTCAATATTAAGCCCCTGTAGTAAGTATGCATCATCTGGAGAATAAAGAAGGAAAATAATTGAGATAAAACCATAGCTTCACAAAAATAATCCCACCCTTTTTATGTACAGTCCTTATTCCAGAACATCATAATCAGTTTTACCGAAATATGAAGTGTAATGAACATACATTTCTGAATGCTCCAGCAGTTTGTACAAGAACAAGTAACATGAATTCACTAATCCTGCTTGGGTTGAGTTCTACTCTTAGACGCCTGTGCACACCTTCTGTGAGTTTAGCCCAAGCATTCACAGTGAAACTCTGAATCATGTTTAAGAACTGGAGCTAAAAGCTTCTTGAAGCTGCAGTTATTGATTTAGATGCAGCAGTCTTTTGGAGAATGTCGACTTATCGTAGCTTGGAGTGATTAACAATTTTTGCTCAACAAAGCCTTGGGAAGGCCAAGAGTGTTAAAACTTAATTGCCCTTCTACCACAGGAGGAAGTTAAGGTTAATGCATGATAATAAAGCTGCTCAATGAAGCCTGCTGGCCTTTCATGTGCGCAGTGGGGGTGGATGCAGTGCAAGCTCACTCCGAATGCTAAAATTGGGGTGAAAAAGTATGCTGGAAAGCAGCTTACTAGAGTCCCTGCTTTTGTTGTAAGTCTCCCTGGGAATTAATGAGGTATCCCTCTGCAACAGAATTCACCCTGTGCACATGTATCAAAATATAATGAGATATGGTTATATCTTTCAAAATTCATAGAAAAGGCTGAGGAACTTTGATACTATGTGCACTATTTCCCTTGTGTAATGCTGCCCCTACAATATTTTTGGCAGTGCTGTCAAAACTGGAGCTCAGAATTTCCTGCCAAATCTTAGGCTGTAGGAGTTCCTTAATAGGAAATACTCGGGGATATACACACTTTACTTCTTATATGCTACTGCTGTCGTGTATCTCGGAGAAAGCTGGGATGGTTACGAGCCGTAACGTTGTGAAATCTCTTTGCATGCTTTCACTTGCATGTAGCGCGTTCAATATGGTTCATTTGCAGAGTGAGTGCTAAAATGCAGGCAAGGAAAGCTGCGTATTTAGGCATGTTTCCCTTTTCAATACACAAGAAGAACTGGCATTGATTTTAGTGGAAGGCAAGGAAGATAGTACTAATAAAATAGAAGATACTGCTCAGGCTAAATAAAAATGTTGAAAGTGAATCTTTTAAGGCAATGTCAATAATTCAGGCATTTCTGTTGGATTCTCTGATATTTTCATGTACCATTCACTGTAAGTTTAAACAGTTTTTGGTTTTTTTTTGGTTTTTTTTTTTTTTTTTAAAGCTGATAAACAGTTCCTTGGCCATCGGGAAAAGATTGTAAATGGAACCAAGGAAAGAAATATGAACGATCAAGGAAGCGTATAAGAACTAAAAAAGAAAAGAGTAATTTAACTTGAATTTAACGTATTATTGCTGAAGGATGAAACTTAGATGAGCAAAATGCTTGTCTCATACTACCTAATGGGAAAAAAAAAAAGGACTGCAGACTACTGTCTTGGGCAACAGAAAATCAACCACCACAGGCAAAGCAAATGTGCCCTTTTTTTTTTATTTTGACATAATGCAGTCAACATGCTACAGGCTTCTGGGGTAGCAATATTAGTGGCTATAGCATCGGTTAAAGTGTCAAGGTGAGAGTGGTAACATTTATACCACATTGACCAGTGCCTTACAGTTATTTCGTATTTTAAATGTGTGTGTTATTTTACAAAATAATCTTGGCATATCATAGAATCATAGAATAGTTTGGGTCACCTAGTCCAACCCCCCTGCTGTGGGCAGGGACATCATCAACTAGATCAGGTTGCTCAGAGCCCCGTCCAACCTGACCTGGAATGTTTCCAGGGACGGAGCATCCACCACCTCTCTGGGCAACCTGTGCCAGTGCTTCACCACCCTCAGCATGAAAAATTTCTTCCTTATAGTAATAATATCTAGTCTAAATCTACCCCCCTTTAGTTTAAAGCCATTCCCCCTTGTCCTGTTGCAACGGGCCCTCCTAAAAAGTTTGTCGCCATCTTTTTTATAGGCCCCCTTTAAGTACTGATAGGCTGCAATAAGGTCTCCCCGAAGCCTTCTCTTCTCCAGGCTGAACAACCCCAACTCTCTCAGCCTTTCTTCATAGCAGAGGTGTTCCATCCCCCTGATCATTTTTGTGAC